CTCAGAAAAAGCGATTTAGTAGTGAAGTAAGAATAAAAAAGGTCATAGACGATGGATGTGAAGACGACTACGATGACAGAATGAGGTCAGTCCAAAAAAACCTTGGAAGACAATACTTACACTCCAGTATATAAATCGTGTCTTCATTTTGAAAGAATGATGCAGTACGATTTGAACCCGATAAATATTTACAATAGTGATAAAATGTCTGCCCTTTAAGTTAAGTGGACCTTTTTTTTTTTTTGAGATTCAGATTCAAGAATTATGTTATAGTGTTTCTTTTACACAATCGCTGTGGAAACATTTTGTGTACAATTTTGAAAAATGAACAGGACATAAATGGATACATTGAAGATCCAGCAATATTTATGGGAAACTTAGGGGTGGTAGGGGAAGGGACAGAGATTGAAGATACTGGGTAATTTGTTTTTGTGACTTCAGATAGTTCCATATGGCAAAAAATAACAGGTATTTTTCATAGATCTTGGAATGGACCTCTTAATAGATACTTTTTTCTTTTAATTCAGAGAATTCAATAAAGCAGAAAGAGAGAGGATGCAAAGAGTGGAGAACAAAGAGGAGAGCGATGAGGAAGACGAAGAACTGGAGGGAGGCCTACGGGTACCAGGGCGTATCTGGTCAAAACTATTCAAGTAAGACATTATATTGATAGTACCTCCTTCAAAACTGACAGTTGTTCCCTGATAAAACTCTGCCACCAAATCCTTTTTCGACAATGTCTTGAAACGAAGTAGTGGGAAAAAAACAGATTTCACAGTTTCACTGAAGAAATGTGTGTAAAGCATTTCTTTTAGCGATGACAAAATTACTCGGGTACAAATGGGAACACTTAAAAGATATTGATTACCCATTGTTTTTATCATTTTTTTCAAATGTCCTGCATGCTTATTTAGTGTATATAGTAACTGTTAAAAGTAAAAGTTCTAGTATTTAAATGAATAATAATTGATGAAGGCTGAAAGCCTCTAGGTCCATATCATATCCACAAATATTTAACAAAAAGTTTATAGAAGTGTCAATAACAGCATTATAAATATACGAAACATAGCATCATTGTGTTTCACCTATCATAGATTGTTTCTTCAAAAATGTTCATCAATTAAAATTCCCTAATCGTTTGAGCATTAATATAACAACATGTACAGGGACCGAAGTGGCTGGATTTATAACATTTTGCATATGCCTTCTTAAGTCTAGATTATCATCCACCGTTACATCAAAATCTTTTTCACCAGTAATGCTTTTTGTAAAATTTTCTTTAATGAGAACTCAGCATCTCTGATAGAGTAGGAAAAATTGTATTTGAACTCTAGGTACCAGCAGACAGGTGTGAGTTGGTTGTGGGAGCTTCATGGCCAGCAAGCAGGCGGCATTGTTGGGGATGAAATGGGACTTGGCAAGACTATAGAGATGATCGCCTTTCTGGCCGCACTCAGGCATAGCAGACTTAAAGATAAAAATTTCTCGTAAGTTCTTCGACGGAAATATGTGATAATGCATTTTGTTCATAAATATAATTATGTGAAACAGATTTTAATAATTTAGTGATAAGTGGTCTCCAAACTTTTAGATCATCGTTTTTGGATCTTTTTTTGCCGAAGACTTTTCTCTTGGTAGCAACTTTCCAGAATCTGTAATTTTGGATACTAGTTCATAGTTCATAAATCAGAATTGCTTTTATGGAAATGGCGTTGCTCATAAAGCATCTGCTATATAAAATATTTCATATCTGTGTCTACTTGTTGTGTTGCTATAGATACCAGGGTCTTGGCCCAACAATCATCGTCTGTCCCACTACTGTGATGTACCAGTGGGTCAAGGAGTTCCATACCTGGTGGCCATTGTTCCGAGTGGCCATTCTGCACTCCTCTGGCTCCTACACCTGTTCAGAGGTAATTATGCTGCGGTTATTCTGTTCAAGTCTCTTTCTAACTTCTGCTTCATTTTACACAATGTCATGTAATTTATAGAAAGCTATTGACCTCATAGCTGACCGTCGAGCTGGTTGAAAAGTGAGTTTTATCTCTTTCATCTATTTCCTTCTATGTCAGTTAATTCAATGTAAAATCAAACACTAATACACTGAATAGCCTTTTTATCTCATAGTCCCATGCATGGTTGGCAATGATCAACTATTGTTAACTGTACATTTCTCTTGCATGTTGTTGTATTTATCTAGGCGGAGCTTGTGCGGAGTATCGTGAAGGATCGCGGAGTGCTGATCACCTCCTTCAACACATTTGTCATCCACCAGGCGCTGCTCATTAAATATAACTGGCACTATGTGGTTCTGGACGAGGGCCATAAGATCCGCAACCCAGACGCACAGGTCACAGTTGCTGTGAAGCAGGTACAGGCTGACCGGGTCTTTACCCTTTGACACCCTCAATGGGGGTGGGGGGTGCTAGAAAGTGTTGAACATTTAGGCTATACCTTCAAATAAAACCATAATTTATGATATATGTTTAAAATGTTATCTTCTTAATATCGATACAGAGTTATTGAAGACATACAATGTTGTTTAAGATATACTGACGCTAAATAATCATTGTTCCATAGTAATATGGAAATGGTACTTGACAAAGTTGACACAGAAAATAATCGATACTAAAATGTATTTTACATCAAAATTCTTTAAAAGCCATATGAATGTCTTTGATATACTTCAAGGTAGTAGACACACATAATATCTTTATTTCATATGCCAATTGATCGTCTTTAACAACTGGATTGAATGTTATTGTTGAAGTACAGAATGATTTATTATATATTCAACAGTTTCGGACTTACCACAGAATCATTCTGTCTGGTTCCCCGATACAGAACAACTTGAAGGAGTTATGGTCCCTGTTTGACTTTGTGTTTCCTGGGAAACTTGGCACCTTACCAGATTTCATGGCCCACTTCTCTGTACCTATTGTACAGGGGGGCTACTCCAATGCTTCAGAAGTACAGGTATTTACTTATTTTTACGCTCCTACCATTTTATTGAGGAGTTAGGGACAGATAGTTTTACCCGTGTCTGTCGCATCGCGATTTAATGTTATGACTCTATTTACCTCGTTGCTTATAAGATTTTCACCAAGGTTTATACAAAATCCAAGTACGAAAATACATGTACTTAAGATAGGTTCATATTTAAGGGTCCAAAGGTCAAGGTAAAGGTCACTATCATTATTTATAATTCAACTACAGGGCCAAAGGGGCACTCATGTCTTACTAATGAGTGTAAATTTGAACAAAACAACTGAAATAATTATGTAGTCAAGGAAAATTTTGGCAGAAGCTATAGTTGCTGCGAAAATTAGAGACCAAAGTAACCATTTTGTTGTTGCGTACCAGGTGATGACGGCGTACAAGTGTGCTTGTGTACTGAGAGATACCATCAACCCGTACCTTCTGAGGCGCATGAAGGCTGACGTAAAAATAGACCTTCCCAACAAGAATGAGCAGGTTTGTCACACAGTAGAGTTCTAATGAACAGTAGAACTTGTCTAAAAGCTTTTAACCAATATACCCTGCTGTCAAGAAAAAATGTTGACAATATATTACAATGACTTAATGAAAAAGCACTTTCGTAAACAGTCTAACAACAATACAAAAGTACTAGATTTTATCATGTGATTTACTGAACTGGCATTGAACAAACTGACCACTTAATAAGTCTTGTCTTCACTGCCAGCTTAACTAATATCAGTCACACTTGTCCATGGGACCACCTCCATTAAGAGACCACATTGTAGTGATGTCATTGATCAATTGTGTATTAGAAGACCACCTGTGTTAAGTGACCTTTCATTGGCCTTTTAGGTACTGTTCTGCCGATTAACAGATGAACAGCGACAGGTATACATGGAGTACTTACAGTCCCGCGAGTGTCAGGCCATCCTTTCTGGCAAGTTCCAGGTAAACAATTCTACCCTTAAGTTATGGTAAAGTTTGTGGCAGGAATAGAAACCTTTTCCTAGAGCATTAATTTGAATAGG